CCCACCCCTCCCTGTCCTTCGGCTACAGGGGGAGCAGCCGAAAATGAGCCTTGAAGGCTAGAAACTTGCTCTGCCTGGAGAGCTCTCGCTCTCTCTCTCTCTCTCTCTCTCTCTCTCATACACACACACACACCTCTGTCCATCCCTCTCCCTGGTTGCCCACCAAGCCCATCCAAGGAAACTTATGTGAAAACCTCTCCCTGCCCTCTCGGTCAGCGAAGGGGGAGGAGGAGAGGAAGACCCAACGTGAGATGACTTGAGTGAAGGAAACCACCGATGTATTTTCGGAGATGTTGGGGGTTGAAAAGGGACATGAATGGATATTATGGGTCGGCGGCACACGGGGGGGGAAGGTCCCACGCGCACTTGTGTCTCGTCGCTCTTGAATTTGTATTTGAGTTTTAATTTTGTAAAAAACACACACACACACACACCAAAACATCATCATAATAAAGGAAACCACAACCTTAGGCCCGCAAGAGCCAGGGCAGAGTTCACAATCTGAGGAATAAGGGTTTGCCCAAAGCTGGAGGCAACTCAGTGGCATGTAGGAAGAGCCACTCCCAAACTTGGGTGAGACCCAGAAAAGGTGTCTCAAGGGACAGCCCCCCCCAATTCTCCCCACGCAATGGCCATGAAACAGGACAGGAGCTGAAGGTGTGATACCTCCCCCCACCATTTAGCTGCCTCCCCCTGAGCCAGAGGAAGGAGAAAAGGTACAGAACGTTGCACCAGGAACAACAACACCCATCACCCTGTTACTTGCAAACGGGGCACGGTCAAGACCTTTCAAAACCAACCCTGTGGCCTCGACACCCAGCTTCGGGACACAATCCTGCAACCGACCCCGTCCTGCGTGGCCTCTTGGGCCATTTTAAGAGATCGATAAATCGAGAACCATCCCGGCGTCCATTCCTCTCATACAGAGAGAAATTAGGTACCAAGGAACTAGAAAAGGGAAAACCTGGAAGCCCCCGCTCCGTCAGATCCCGGGCATAATTTGCCCACAATCCCAAAATGGCAAAGCTCTCTCCAAACAGAGTTTCCCGGCGGTGACCCCAAAACCCCAAGATTACTCATACATTGTAAAACTCGGGAGGTCTTTACAGCCGAGACAGAACAAGGAGGAGATGCAGGAAGATATTTCGGGGAAGACTGAACCAGAAAATGGCCAGCTTTGATTTGGGGGAGACGGGGTGTGTGTCTAATCTATATATCCCCAGTTCAGTTATCGGAAGGCGCAAGGTATCAGGAATATAATTTTGGGGGAATCATGGGGTGGATCAGAGATCTCGGCTCAGACGGAGGGGCACGGCGGGGAGGCCACGGGCCCTTCGACCGGACGGCCCCTTTGGGGGGCTTACCTGCTCCACGCCGTTCATATAGGACCAGACAAAAGGCCAGCAGTGTCACGCCACGACTTCGGGGGCATCAAAAGACGGAACCGGATGAAGAGCTTGGGTTTCTCTCCCGGAAAAAAGGGTCCATGAGTTTCTTTACAAACCTAGGAAGGGAACAGAGAAGCCAAGGAAATCGCCCCCCCATTGACAAAAAAAAACCAGCCCTCAAGTTAGAAAAAACCCTAAGAGGGTTTCAGACCCCCAAAACTGGGACGGATGTGTTTGTGTGTGTACAGTATAAGCAACAGCCTGCTTTATTTTGCTCTCAGCTGCCTTTTCTTCCTAGCTGGGAAAAAATAAAGCCGACAGCAAAAAAATAAAAAAATTACCTAATTAGTGTATTATTATTATAATTATTATTGGGAACAGGACTGGCGGGAACAGGAGTGGAAAATGGAAATAACTGCCGCCTGGCGATAAGATGAGATCAAGGGAAAATGTGGCGATTGAAAGCACGGAAGAGCGGCATTTGGGGAGAATGGAAAAATCCGGGAAAAGGTCACAATCAGGGCCAGGCTGGACACCAGACCCCAGTGTGTGGGTGTGGATGCTTCCCCCCCCCAGCTTTTTCCATCTCGACTTCTCTTGCTAGAAACGTCGGACAATGACCAGGCTTGAGTATCAGATTTGGCAAAGCGGCTTTTTTACACACGCACACCCTCAGCTTAACCAGTGCCCAGAGGAGCCCCTCGCCAAGGGAAGCTGGCGCCCAGAATCGCCGCTTGGCTCGGGTTCAATCTCCAGAGCTGGCTGGGGGGGTTCTGGGTTTGGCACTTTTCCTTCCTGATTTGAGTTTTGGATTTATTTGTGTGTGTGTTTTTTTTTTTAAATTATAATAAGCAAAGCTTTTCTGCCTCCTTCGCAAAATCTATTGGCAAGCGAGCCCCACACCAGTTAAGTTTGGACGAGGAAAAATACCAAGCGGTTCAAAGCCTCCCCCGCCGCCGCCGCCCCAAATGCCTTGAGAGCTCCCTAATTAAGGCAATTAATGATTTTAAAATTGCACACATAAAAGGGCATTGGGCCCAGGCTGAAGCGCAGGGAGGTGGGCAGAAAAGGAGGTCTGTTTCAAAGGGAGATCAAGGGTGGCCGCGGAAGGACAGGGGCCTGGTTAAGGGGTTCCCTTACCTGCCCCCCCCCGCAAAACAATTCAAGATTTTGGATCAACAAGACACCAGAAGGTCTGCGTTAACTCGCCAGCCTGTATCTCTAACCACTACCCCACACAGCCCTTAAATGAAGAGCTTTAAGCCTCAGTCTCTCTGATTTAAAATCTCTATTATCTTGTCCCCCAGCATGCCAAGGTAGACTGCACCAGAACAAGGAAGCTCCACAGTGGTCAGCCAATGCGCTCTTGACGTCTTGGGATTGCGGCGCCCAAATACTTCTGATTATTTTGAGGCCAGGGTCACCCTTGGGTGATGCAGAAAAATGCTTTGCCCCCCACAAGAAGGGGCTGCTGGACTCCTGGGCATGCTTGTTTCCAAAAGATAAAACTCCTTAGGGAGTTTTCAATGCAATAAGTTGGTCAGTCACTCTGGCTGGGTTTTTTTTTGCTGGTGGTCTGTCTTGCAGAGGCCGAAGGGAAAGGAAGGAATCGGGGCCCAGAAAAACGCAGAAGCCCCCCCCAATCCTGCCCTGCTTAACCCTTCGTATCCTCCTGAGACCCGTAGATTAATCAAGCTAATAAGAAAGTAATTTATCCCAGCGCCATGGCAGAAGGGAGTGTTGCAAAGCAGCCCATGAAATATTCAAGCCGCTATCCTCGTAAAAATAAATTAAGGAAAAGTAATTAAGCATCGTAAGAACGGGGAGGAAGAGTGGGAAAGAACGAAAGAGGGAGAGAGAGAGAGAGAGAGAGAGAGGCGGAAGAAGTGGCTGAAGTTAAACCCCACGAGTGGCTGATCGCCCCAATGACCACGGGTGGATTTTAGGAGGACAGGTCGGCTCGGAGATGCATTGATCCCGAATCCCCGAAGAGCTGCCGTTTGGAAGAGACAGATTCGAATCCCATCCCTCCCCCCCTCCTGGCCTGGCTAGGAAAGCTCCCTGGGTGAGACCTCAGGCCCGCCGTGCTTTCCCGGTGAGCCTACCTTGTCAGGCTGTCGTGATGGGGAAGGATCGCTGTGCATACAGCCTTTCACTCACGGGGTGGGCCGCCATGCTTTCCCGGTGGGCCTACCCTGTCAGGCTGTCGTGATGGGGAAGGGAAGAGGATCGCCGTGCATACAGCCTTTCACTCACGGGGTGGGGGACACAAGGGTTAACGGGGGGGTGGTTTCAAAGACAAAGTCCGGACCAACCCCAAACTTTCTCAAGCGTTCTTTCTGCCACGGGGGTGGCCCGAACTAGGTCATCCCCAAACCTCCATCCCACCTCCCAGCGGTGTGCCGCCGAGGGTGGAAATGTCGGAAGTAAATATTTCATGAGCAGCACTTAAGCGCTCATTCCTCCCCCCCGAACAGGGCGCTATGGATGTCCGCAGAAGTGGAGACGCGGCTTTCAATCCCTCAGTGGGGTCAGAGTGGCTGAGAAAACAGATCCCCTTTCGTGCGGCGAAACAGAATGCGATTGACAGGGATGGCGACGATGATTTGCTTGGGACTCGAACTCGGGTCTCCCAGCTTGCTCTGCAAAAATATAAAAAGCTGAAAACTGCCTTTGGTGGCGCAGTCTCTCTCTCTTGACCGCCTTTGACCACTACACCACCTTCGCGGCTCCCACTCTGACGCTGACCACCAAAGCCCCCCCTTCTCATGTGCTCACAGCCCTGGTGTGTGTGTGTGTGATGTTTATGTTCGGAGGGCTGGACGCTGAAACATCTGCCTCCCGCCGGCTGCCCTCCGCAGACAACCCCCCTCCGGGGTAGGCTCGGAAAGGTCAGCCGGTGCTTAAAATAGGAGGAAGGAATCTCACTCGGGTCTGGCTGGCTAAGAGGGGATTAATTCCACATGGGAACTCCGGACGGCCTTCTGCTCTCACCCCACCCCCCCCACCCCCACCCCCGGGCATGGAGAGTGTTGGACTGCAGTTCCCATGATCCCCGAACTTTGGCTGCAGTTGCGGGGAACTGTAAGCCTCTCTCTCTCTCTCACCCACCCCCAAAAAAACCAAACTCATTTTAAAGTTTGGAGACAGACCAATTACGCCCCCTCTCATCCCCATATCCCCATTGTCATTGGCCCCCCTCCTTAAACCGGTTCCTCTTCTTAACCCACGCTCAAATATTCAAACTGAAGCGGCCGGAACACTTTCTATATTTTCCTTATGAACCTTGAGATTCTCTATACAGGGCACAGAATACCAAACCCTAAAGGAGGCTGCTTTTAGGGGGAAAGGCCAGTGGCATGATGTTTTATAACTAGTATTAAAATGAATGAATGAATAATCAAAACTGGGGGAGGGGGTGTTTTCCCATCTTTCCAGTTTTATATCATCTCTGTGCAAAGAGGAGTTCTGTGGAGCTCAAAAGCTTGTTTCGTCTGCAACCGTTTAGCCATCCAGCCAAGACAGCCCCCCAGCTTGGGCGTTCGTTACTTGCTGGGCCTTCCAAAAATCCAAAGTAACACGAGGAGACGTTCTATCCGATGACCTAGAAATGTGATAAAAGGGCACAGTCCCCAGATGCAATCAAAGGGATAAAGCAACTTTCTCTTCTGAAGGGTTTGAAGGATTTCTATGTCACCATTTGGGGTGTGTGTGTGTGTGCTTGTTTTGCAGGGGGGGGTCTAAATCATATGTGGGGTGACACCCACACAGGCCACCCTTGGGCGGTCATGACCTTCCGCCCTCCAAAAGGATAGCCGGATGGGAAGGACAGTGACCGGGGGGGGGAGAAAGGCAGTGGGGACCGGAACTGTCCCGGAGAAAAATGGGATTTTGGCAGGCGCATCGCTTAAGCTCTGCCTTCGCACCACGACGAGAGAGGAAGCCGGACCTGCCAAAAGCCCCCTTATTTTCCTCCTCCCCCCCAACACTGCGGCCCTGTCTCCTGCCGAATTCTGGCCAGCCTGCCAAAATGACAACTGCTGCGGTGCAGAGATAAAGAAAGAACCGGAGAAATTTTCACGGAGGAGTGTCGCCCTTCCAAGATGGAAAGGAAAGGAAAAGAAAGGGAAGGAAGGGAGAGAACCCCAGACGTCCAAGCCCCTGAACCTCTGCTCCTTCATTGCACCAAAATTTTAGCCCTGCGCACCGCAGCGTTGGAAGAGGAGAGAGAAAGAAAGGCAAGACGGATCGGCTTTGTGGGGGCTCTCCCGTTTCGGAAGGGACCCGCAGAGATAGTCTTGCTCAGCCAGGAAACACCAAGGCCCGCCGAAAGAGGAAGGTTAACCAAGGAGGAGAGTACCTTCTGATCACCTCCCAAAAGTGGGAAACACAGGAAAGATTTTTAAAAAGAGAGAGAATTTGTGCCAGATTTCTGTGGAATTTCAGGCTCGTCCTGTAGGGTTGATCCCCTGGTCAGTTTAGCCTCTCTGGCCGGGTTTCAGCAAGGATGACCTGCTGTACTTCCAGGGTGGAAGATTTTACGCGTCCTGTGCCTTCCGGCGCTTCTGGAAAAGAAGGGGGACCCACAGAATGCCACTCGCTAGCCGTCAAGGTGACACGAGCCTCCAGGCCATTGAGCCACGCAGCTCTCCTCGGCTTCCCATTCAAATCAGGGTTTCTGGAGAATCATGAGAACCAGAAACTTGTTTCTTTCTTAGAGGACAAAGCCGTGGCTGCGCGGCTCTCCGGCTACAAGGCATCGGGTTCCCGGCCTTGCCGGGGAAAGATCGTGCTCCATTGAAGAGCCTTGGAGGGATTTCCTGCGGGGAAGGAATGGGCTACCAGGGGCATTAAAGCTAAACCCCCAATCTAGACACATGTGGCGCGTCCGAGTGTCCTCTAGGGAGCCCGCACCGTTTTAGACAGGCTTCACCAAATGGCTCGTCTGCCTCTCCCGCCTGCCAAAAAGGCCTGCTTTGAACGCGCATTTCCTGCACGCCGACTGGTGTCCCTCTGGTGCCAACGGGCACTGCCAAAGGATCCAGCCGCTTCGAGGATCAGAGCATCGTCTCCGAGAGGCGAGTGTCCCGGGACCTGAGCCTGGAGGCCGGCCTCGCTCCTCCCCAGCCAGCCCGGCTCAGTTGCAGAGAGAAAGACTCAGCAAAAAACACCAACGCCAGCCCCTCCAGTCTCCCTGACGGCACACTAAAGCGCCAATGAGCGTCCCCCCCCCCGGGCGCCATTCATCCAAATCCAGTCCATACCCACCCAGGGCCCGCTAATGGCCGGTGTGAGGTCCCTCCGGGCCAGGAGATGGGGACGCGGCCTGGAGCCAGGTTTGGCTGCTGGGGATTCGCTGCCCAGATGTGGGGGAGGAGGTGGATGCCCCCTCCCAACCATCAAAAGATCTACAGGTGCGTGGCTAAGGAAGGAGGGTATAATAAAAACAAACTCAAAACCAAACAAAGACCCAGAATATATTTACAGCCCACCCACCTGGCCCAAGCTGCACTACTTGGAGGTCACCACAGTCCAAATTAAGGATGCCAGGCACACACGCACACCCAGCTCCCTTGCTCTCCCCACTGGCCTGCCCAGTGCCTTTGGACCCTCAGGGACATGGGGATCCAAAGTTTGGGAGAGAGAACGGATTCCTGCCCCCCCCCGGGTGCATCCAAACTGAGGGAAACATGATCGTTAGTGAAATGTCCCCCTGCGGTAAATGCAAAGCCTTCAGGAGCAGCTCGGTCTGGCAGGGGCCATGGAGGGCCATTGACTTCGCAAAAGACCTGTCCCGGGTGGTAAAGAAGCGATTCCTCGATCCTGATCTAGCCTGCATTTGGGGGGGGGACCGGCAACGTGGCATGGGAGGGAACCCTGTTTCCCAAATCCACAGCCACTGGTGTTCTTGAACTACCACTCCCATGCGCCCTAGCCAACATTCAGGGCACATGGGAGCGGTAGTCCAAGCAAACCTAGGCAGATTGGGTACAGGGACCAATTTACCTCTGCTTTTTCTTGGGGTGGGGGCTGCAACATCCATAGTCCCACCACAACCACCTCCAGACTGTTTTAAGGACAGAGGCATTCGGAAAGCAACTTTCAGATGACCGCACTGACCTTGAGAAAGACACAGAGAAAGGTGACGCAGGCCAGGGGACTGCCAGCTGCCCTTCTGAGAAAGTAACATTTCTAAGCCCTGACCGTGTTCAGGACGACTCTGCAAGGATTTTGGAATCCAGCCCCCCTGCTTCCAGCAGGCGACAGCCAAGTCCTTTCACTAAGACGCCCACTGGAAGCAAAGGGGGGGAGCTTTTATGCATGCCTTATATATCCACAAATATAAATATATATCAATAAACGCAGGGCCGAGAGATAGACTGCTCCTGTCCAGGAAGGCTCCACCTAAGGCTGAAGAGTTGCTGGTAAACTCTATAAAAAAAGGATGAAAAGAAAGACGATTCTTCCTCGTTCCCACAGAACGTCATTCTAGCTTCTGGCCTAGCATCTCAGGATACAGCTTGGGCGGGTGAGGTGGGTAAGTGGCCCACCGGCTAATGGTCAGCCATTCCACCTACGTGGAGCCATCCGGCCACCTTCTGCCCACCTTCGCCAGGAGAAAAGGAACATTTCAGGGTGGGGGTAAGGGATTTGGCCACCTCTCCACCACCACCCCCTCCACTGGTGGGCCAAATCCAGCCCTCTGGTGTCCTAATCCTTCGTACCACCACCGTTCCCATGGCGCCATCTGGGCACCTTCTGCCCACCTTCGCCTGGAGAAAAGGAACATTTCAGGGCGGGGGTAAGGGATTTGGCCATCTCTCCACCCCCCCCCTCCACCGGTGGGCCAAATCCAGCCCTCTGGGGTCCTAATCCTTCGTACCACCACCGTTCCCTTGCTTAGGGTACAGATTTCCTCCCCTTTCTAAAAGGCTGATCTGCTTCTCTTGAGACTCGGCTCCTGGGGAGAAAATCAGCTCTGCCCCACATCTGGTTCTCACCTGGCCTCGGGGCCCCCCAGGCCCTGTCTCCTGTCCCCCCTTGTAGGCCACGCCATGCCTCCTCCCTCCCCTACACCCAAAAGATCTCTCAAATGCGGCCACCACCCTGTGCAGACCAGAAGTCCAGCAACCGAGGGCCAACCGGGGGCAGCCACAAAGCCACCCACCCCAAAAAACACATCTTTTTCTTTGGTGCCAGACCGAAAGAAATGGGACCCCCACCGGCTCAACCCTCCCCAGTTTCTAATCAGCACGTCCGGCGTGGCTTCCTTTGGCAGAAACCAGTCCGGGGGGGGGGGCAGGTCAGCCACCAAGGTGGGGCCACAGGCCAGAGTTTTTAGCACGGTGGGCTTGTGACTGCTCGGCCTTTTCCGAAGGAGCCGGGTTCAAATCCCGGCATCTCCAGGCAGGAGTGGGAAAGAATTCCCTATACACCAGCCTGGCTGAAATGCTGCTTTTCACAGCGGATGACACCGAGCGGGTGGCGGGAAGACCAGCCCCGACCATCTGGCCATCTCCTGAGTCCCTCTTCCAATGTCTTCCTCCCGACCATAAGGGCAGTGATCTTACTCTGTTTTCAGGGGAACAGCCGGGGCTTGGGGGCGAGATTCCTTGCTCTGAGCCCAGACATTCCCACCTCAAATCTGCAGCACCCCCAAGAAGAACCACCAAAGGCCCTGGAGGCCAAATCTTCCAAACATACCCCTACCCGGCTGTGCCAGGTCACCCTTAACTGGCTGGCAGCAAATGAATGGTTTCACCTAAAGCCTTTTCCTATTTAAACTGGAACAAGGGGGTTTGCAACCTTCAGATCCCAGTTCAGCCCGCTGGCAGTGCCTCCCGGTGAGGCTGGGAAGGGGCCACACCTGACACCCAACAGATGTGGTCCAACCCAGAACCATGAGGACTAGCACCTTCCTTTGTTTTCGAGGCAAGGGGCCAGAACTTGGGAATTGTCCAGGGGGGGTGCCTCCAGCCTGGGTCAGGAAATGACTCCTCCAGACCCCAGAAAGCCGTTCCCTGGAAAACGACGGAGGGAAGCGGACATCAAGGTTCGGTTTCGGGGCCAAACCCTCCCTCTTCCGCCCCCCCCAAGCCACAACTTCTGGACTCCCTGGGAAGTCAAGGCAGGGATCCTCTAGCCAATACCCACTCCAGCTGGCAGCGGTGCCAAAAAAAAAACATAAGGACGAGAGGGTTCCACTTACCTGGAGCAGGGAGAAGGTGAAGAGGCGGTGGCTGTTCCATCTTCTGTTAAATGAATTCCCTTTTTTCCAGGACCACACCAGAAGGAAGCCCCTTCCCGGGTCTCTCCCTCCTGGTCCTCCCCGTCGCGTGGCTGCAGCCAGTGGGTCCGGGGGAACCTTCCTGCTCAGCTCCCCTCCGGCCAAAGGAGCCCCGTCTATAAATAAAGAGCCAAGAGCGGGCCAACGAGAGGCTGTCAGCTGCCTCCGCCCTGGCTGGGCTGCCTCTCGGTTTCCTGCAAGTGAAGGACAAAAGCAAAGCAGAGCTCAATGTGTTTGTGTGTGTATGTGTGTCTCCCTCCTGCCTCCCTCTTCTCCCTCCCTCCCTCCTTCGCTTTCCTCTCTTGATCTTAATTGCCTGGCAAAGGGGTTTCCCTGGGAGAACGGAGTAGGGAGGGGAAATCCACCTCCGGAACGGAGACAGAAGGCTTGGGGGCAAGGAGGCGGGTGAGAATCTACCCAGGTTGGCGTGTTTTTCTTTTTCTCCCCTTTCTCCCGGCCCCCCACCCCGCCCCACATGCCACCTTTCCTGCAAGCCAGCAGAAACCGGGAGAGTCAGGGGGATCCGAAGAGAGGATTCCCAAAATCGACACAAGGTCAACAAGAAAACTAATCATAATAACCCTCCGCCACCTCGAATCAAACACTGGGCAAGCTTTTGGGAATCACCAGTCTCCAGGTTGAGGAAGAGGAAGGAGAGAGGAAATGGAGGGAGGGGGGTTGAGTGGGAGAGCTTGTGGTCTACATGGGTGTAAAGGGAGGGAAAAAAGGTAAAGAGACAGATCCAAGAGATGTTGAGGGCCCTCACATGAAAATGAGTTTCAGAATCACACCCAGGCACTTGTGAATGCTGCTTCCAAGGGGCAGTTGTGGGAGAAATCTGACGTCGGTTTCCGAACTCCATCATTAACGGTGAGCGCTTCACGAAAATAAAAAAGAGAAGCCGTGAGCAATTTTTATTTTGCTTTTAAAGGTATTAACACAGAGTGGCAATCTTTTCATGCCCGGCGGCAAGCGGTGCCTGAGAACACAATTTGCTTTGGAAACACTGCCATGCACAACACGAACAATTACTTTTTTAAAAAGGAACTTTGTGAGCCGGAGGGGGGGGAGGGAAACGCCCGCCGCTGCCTCCGTGCCTGCACGGAGGTTGTGGGAAGGCATGAAAATGGGCTTCCCAGGGCTCGGTGGCCATGCCCGAGAGCCAGAAGGTCAAAAGGGGGCATTTTCCGGAGAGCTGCGCGGTGTGGATGGGGTGTGTGTTTTTTAGAACAGGGGGGATAAAATGTTCCTGACTCTAAAGGACAGCCCTGTCAACAAAAGGAAAAGCCATGAGAGTCAAATCATAGCCAGCCGAACTTCCCCCCATTCTCTGGACCGTGCGAGATTCCCGGGCAACCCACTGGGGAGGGAAGAAGGCAGATCTCAGGAGCCAGCTGGCCTACCTTGGAGGGCGAGGGACAATGGGAGGAAAGGAGGGGAGAGGACCAAGGGTCAAGCAGGGACGACTGCCTCCAGACCCATCTGCAGGCCATTCACGGCTGTTTTCCTCTGGAGGCAGAGGGAGGTAAAAACGCTTCAGCCTGCAAGTTCTGGAGGGTGGCCACCAACACCTCTTTGGGACGGCTTCTTTTCTCTTGCTGGGGGCAGAAAGGGTGAGTGTCGCACGGATGGCCCCACACACACACAACCAAAGAGGGGTCAGGTAGCTTGGGATGACCCTCAGGGTCCCTTCCAGCTCTAGAAGGCTAGGATGAGAGAACAGCCGGAGATGTGTGGGTTCCTTTTTTTAAGAAAAGGGCCGGGAAATTTATGTTATTTATTTATTCTATTTATATGCTGCCCATTGGGGCTGCCAAGGCCCCTCTGGGCGGTTGACAGCAACAACGAAAAAGCACTAAAACCAAATACAAAAGAATAAGCACATTAAGATCACAATAATATGAAAATGAAAAAGGGTGGGATTCAAAATACTTCAGCTGTGGGGTTCGCCTTGAATTGGCCATTGGGTTGGGAGGAAGGAAGGAAGGAAGGAAGGATTGACAGCAACAACGAAAAAGCACTAAAACCAAATACAAAAGAATAAGCACATTAAGATCACAATAATATGAAAATGAAAAAGGGTGGGATTCAAAATACTTCAGCTGTGGGGTTCGCTTTGAATCGGCCATTGGGTTGGGAGGAAGGAAGGAAAGAAAACAAGAAAGGAAGGAAGATTGATCATTTATGGTCTCATCAGTTCAGGTTTTTAATAAGGAAGGAAGGAGCTGATGATGAATAGATGGAAAGAAGGAAGAATGAAAGAAATAGAGAAAGAAAGAAGGAAATAAAAGGGAGAGAGAAAGAGTCCCCCCCCCTTTTCCTTGCCTTCCTCCCCCCATGGAAGGAAGGAAAGAAAACAAGAAAGGAAGGAAGATTGATCATTTATGGTCTCATCAGTTCAGGTTTTTAATAAGGAAGGAAGGAGCTGATGATGAATAGATGGAAAGAAGGAAGAATGAAAGAAATAGAGAAAGAAAGAAGGAAATAAAAGGGAGAGAGAAAGAGTCCCCCCCCCTTTTCCTTGCCTTCCTCCCCCCATCCCTCCCGTCTCTCCATCTCTCTTGTACAGTATTTCAGGAAATCTGCCATCTCAGCGGCCGCCACCCAACGCCCGCCCCCACAAACGTTTCGGGGGAAGCCCAGGCTCAGCCGAGGAAGGATTCCTCACAGACAGACCTCGTGACTTGACTGCTAAGCAGGGATTCTCCCCCCCTTCTCTCTCTTTTACTCTATCCTCCCCTCCCCTTTTTCACCCACCACCACCGCCCACGCATCCTCTCCCTTCCTCCCCCAACTCTGCAGAAAGAGAGAGAGAGAGAGAGAGAGAGAGAGAGAGAAAGAGAGATGCCCCGTTGCCATGGTGACACGAGAGGCCTGGACCACTTCCTCAGTCTCTGCCCGACGCTCAGTTTTCTCTCTCTCTCTCTCTCTTTTTTTAATTTTCTTTTCTTTTCCCCCCTTCAAAAGAAGAGGGGGGGGGAAAGAGCCTGCTAGATGAACACATCAATAATTCATCTGTCATGGTGGTGCTGTTTTTCTTTTTTCTTTTCTTTTTTCCCCTTCCTAGCTACCCTTTCTGGTTCTCCTCCTCCCACCTCTTCTCAACCACGAAGGCAGAGAAGGAGGAGGGAATCCCCTTTGCTAAAAATAACCTGCATTCATCGAGGAAGGGGAGGGGAAAACCCGTGCAGCCTCCCCCCCCTTTCCATATATAAATATTTTAAAATAAGCATATAGGCTGTGCATTTTCACACACACACACACACACAAACACACACACACACCCTTCCTTTCCCCTTGCAAGCCTCACGAAGGATTTTGGGGGGCACCCCAGAGTGGGAGATGAAAAACCCACCACGGGATTTTTGCACAAAGGCGAAGGGTTCCCCTGGATCCACCCGCCCACATTTCTGCACCGTTGGCTGCAGCAGAGAAAGAGCGAGGGAAAAAGGGGGGGGGAAGGCGCTGCAGGGTGTCTGGGAGAAAAGCGCAGGTGGATCCGAGCCGTGTTGTTGCTATGAATAGACCTTGCCGCACGTGGAGGTGGTGGGGGACACCACGGTCGGGTGTCCCCCCCCCCACACCCATGGGGAGCACCCGTGGGGAGCATGGCTGCAGCAGCTCTTCCAGAGGTGGGGGAGATGGGTTTGCTCTAATACTGAAACATGCACGGAGGTGGGGGGGGGTTGGCTGCCACAGGGAAAAAAAGGGGGAAACCAGGGAGAAGAGGAAGACAGAGAGCAGGCATCGGGGCGCTTTTCAGCCCCGTGGGTGGACCTGCTGTCTTTTAAAACAAAGCCACCTTCTCTCCAACGTTGACTTCAGGCCTTCCTCAAGCTTCTCCTGGCAGGCTGGATCACAACTCCTATCAGCCGCCCTCATCCTCACGTGGCTCAGGGGTCGCCAGGGGGTTTGGGGTTTTCTTTGCCAAGGGGGGGGGTTGCAGAGAAACATTACGAACATCACCAGGGCGCCCCCCCATTCCACAAGATCTGGCTGCCTGATGCGAGCGCCAAGACGGCCAAGTCTTCCGTCCCAAGGGCAAAAGACTGCTGGCGGAGGATCCCGAAGGGCAGCCAGAAGATCACTTAGGGGGCATGCAGTTCTTTTCCCCCCCGGCATTTTGCAGCCACCTCCCACCTGTCGCCGGCTGAGGCAGCCATTTCGCTTTGCCTTAGAGCAGGACCCTGGAAGCAGACAGGCAGGGCAAGGAGATTACCATTCAGTATTGCCAGGGGAACGGCTAAAAGGCTGTGCTCTCCCACTCCACAGATCTAGCCGGTCCCCTTTTCTCTTTCAAGCCCTCCTGCTCTGGTAGAGGGCTGGACTAGATGACCTTCATGGGCCTCTCTCCAGGTTGGCTTCCTCCCTCACGCTGCCAACCAAGGGTTTCGGGCTGAGATGGTCATGGAGGGAAGGAGCGTCCGCACAACACCCTTTCCTTCAGGATGATTCAGCTCGAATCACTCACTGTGTTCACATGACATCAGCAGCCGTTCAACCGGAGGGGCTAAGGCAAGCCACGTTCCACATTTGGCAAGGCCAAACCACCCGGCTTTCCTTCACGAACCGGCAAATGGGCTTCATCACTTGGGACAGGTTTGATAAAGTTCAAAATAAAATCCGAAGTTGACTCAACACACAAACACACACACACCCAATGAAATTCCAGCTGTTTTCGGTCACATTATATTCTGGACCAAGCTCGCTTGGCGCAGCCTGGCAGCAATGCCCTCGCTGGGGGGAGAGGAGGAAGGAGAAGGGCCCCTTTGTGTTGCCTTCATGGTCCATTTCTGGGTATGCCTGACTCTCCCTCCTAGGAAACAAGAATACTAGGTTGTCTGGCTACCTGGAAACCCACCCACCCCCTTTGGCTTGCTTCGGCAAGGCTGGGCCTTTCTGACATTCTTAAGGCCAAACTCCCAAACCATTTTAAGCTAAAAAATAATGTTTTGGGGCACTGGAGAGTGGACGAGGTGGGGTGGGGAGGGAGAACCCTGTTGTCCTTCCAGCAACCTAGAGGTTTCCGCCTCTGCATCGGACCTCCTCTGTTTATCTCGGCCTTTGCAGGGTGGACGATTTTTTCCGGGGGGGGGGACGTGGAAACTCATCCTATCTACCTAAAGCAAAGGCTGCCACCCCCACAGGAAGGGAGAGATAACAGAGGACGAGGAGGACAAGGGCGCTCCTCAGACGCTTGGCCAGCCAGGAGGCAGGGAGGGGGAAGACTGATTGATCAATGGAGGCCCAAGATAACGGCAGTGGGAGAGGAAAAGGAGCAAACCAGCAACCGCAGAGAGCACGGGGGGGGGGGCGATGGACCCACAGCCACCGATGCCGAGAGGGGACGACTGTCTCCCCTGCTCCACGGAAGCTTGAAGGCTACAAACCATACTTCCTAAAGGTACACTGCCTCTGTATTTGGAGGCTCTGTCCTGTCCCTGAGGTCTGGAGCAGCAGACGCTGGGTGTGGGCAATTTATCAGCAAGCCCCAAAAATAAAAAGCTCTCAAGGCCTGGTCTACTCTAGGGTTGGTCTCCAAATCTCCCGTTTGGTTTATACCCAATGAAGGGCACTGTTGTCCTTCGGACCGTTAATGGGGTTGCCCCGTTTGCCTCTCAGCCGCGGCTCCTGGGCTTTTTAGCACCACGGACACTGAAAAGACTCAAGAGGCAACTGATATCAGCTTTTAAGAGATACCCCCCCCTGCAATCCACAAAACTACCCCGAGGTTTATGCCTGACAAAGCAGCTCCAGGCACCCCCTCTTCCCTGCTGAGAGAGGCGCCGGAAGCATTGCTTCCTGACCCCACAGTCTGAGCAGCTTTTCAGCTCTTTTACAGGAACCTCCTGCTGGCACCAGCGATGGCTTTGTTCACAAGAGAACGGACATGAGTAAAAATGGAATTAGCCTTACTTACATCTGGCAGGAGAACAGGAATGGTTTGCCAGCAATGCAAGGAACATCTTTCCATCCAGCACGGGTCTCGGGCCTTCTAGGCTGGAGAAGACGTCCTAAGGAGGGGCCAGATGTTTTAAGGCTATTTTAAATTTGCCAGGAATATATATATACACAAGACATATACTACACGCAGATGTAATTTTGCATGTGTGTCTCTGTGTGGGCAAATGGATATACATGTATTATCGCAAGAACTAAAGAGATAATTTTTGGTGCGTTTGCATACACAAGTATGTCATTTTGCAGAAAGGGGGTTCGCCACAGCACAGGTGCTGGCCAACTGCTGCTGCACACCATTTGCTTCTACTGCAACTGACTCAGAGAACCAGCTACAAATCTTAACTCTCCACTATAACAAAAGGAGGGAAAAGCTTATATTTCTTTGGGGTTTTTTTGTGGAGGATTTTTTAGGGCAACACAGCTAGAGGAACTTTCTTCCAGAAAAGGGTCAGATCGCATTTTTTTTCACACATACTGTTCCAGACACCTGTTTGAAACTGTTTTGCATGGATCCTGAAGACAGAGAGAGAGAGAGAAAGCGATGGCACAGTTCAAATGTTTTATTCCCTTGGGAGTTTGGGGTTTCCAGGTCGGGGCAAAAAAGGTGTTATTTCCTATTTTTTAAAAAAACTGCATGTCCCCCACGCAAGCCAGAGGTGCACGCCGGCGGTGTTTCTGTGGTCAGGAAGGTGGTTCATGGTTTCCCGGAGAGTCCCGATGGAATCGATGACAGTTTGCATAACCCAAGAAGGCAGAGAAGGGGGTGTGAGAGTGTGGGGTCGAACGTTTCTGGGGTAGGGGGGAATGGTTCTCTGTTGGCAAACGGGGAGATTGACTTATGCCAAAAACAAAACAAAAAATTTACTCTGGAGGATCAACTGTTAACAACAGGAAGATCATCACCAGAAAACTCAACATACAGTCCTAGATGATCCTTGAAAGGGATCGCTGTAATGCTCGTGTGACCCACCTCCGGGAGGAAGACCTCTTGTGCTGGACCACAGATCCCATGATCCCTTAGTGCTAGTCAGGGGCTGATGGGAGTTGTTGGCCCCAGTCATCTAGAGCACCAAAGGTCACACACACAAACCCCATCTGGCCGGATCCTGTGGGCAGATTGTGGGCCGCCTCAAGAGTTTTCTTGAACCCGGGTGAAGGGACAGCCCCGACGGGAGGCAGAGAATGCCCCTCGATTTCAGAGAAAGCAAGTGTGTGTGTGTGGGAGACAACCAAGCGAATGGGGGGGTACAAAGGGAAGAGGCGAGATCTGTACCCTTTCTGCCTTAAAATGGCCTAGCAAGGCACCCCGCCTGGGTCAGCGGAGGGGGAGAAGAGAGGTGAAAAATGGCGTCCTCTCCCCCCCAACCCCAAATCCCCATCTCTCCCCCCTCGAGTCTCATTTGTGGCTATTGTAAGCCGAGTGCCTCTGGTTCATGGGGTTCTCTGGGGACTTCATCCATTCCTTCTTCAGCAGCTGCTTGAGCTGGGAGAGGCGCATGTTGGGGTTCTCTTGCTTCAGCCGGGGCAGGTTGGCCTCCTCGAAGGCCGTGAAGGCCGCCTTCATCCGCCGCTCCGGGTGGCGGTCCAGATCCTCGGGGAGGCTGAAGGGAGGGACAAGGAAGGGGAAGAGGTTAGACCGGGTCGCCGGTGCCTTCCCGGAACGCAACCCTCCTCTGGGGGGATAGCCAAAACCCCTGCTTACAAAAACGCCTCTCTGGCAGGCAAGGCGTTATCTTACTTTAAAATGAGAGGTTCAAAATGAATGGATCTCCACCGAGGAGCTCACTGTCGTCGTCCCCCCGGCCCTTTTTACAAACTCTGCGGCAGAAAAGAAGCCGGGGGCATCTCCGCTTGCGAGTTCTTCTTTGCTCCCACTTTGGGGAGAAAATCTGCACTTGGCTCTGGAACGGACACACACCCTGCCCCCCTCCCTGGATCAGGCTCTCCCCCCCCGGCCCACCTGAGGACCGCAATTGCGTCTTCGATGGTCCGCGCCTCCACCGCCCCTTCCTCCAGGACACAGCGGTTGATGTTCTCTTCCAAAGGCGTCTCGAGGTGGCTTTTCTGCTTCTCGGCTGGAGAGGAGGAAGAGGAAGAGGCGACCGGATAACACACTTTTGCACATCAGTATTTTTTTTTTTTAAGGCCAGGACGGGCAAGGGGATGGCCCTCCATGCTGGGCCAGGAGACGCCCTGCTCCTGCCTCCACCCCCACCCAAAAAAGGGGCTACCCCTCAAGGGAAGCTGGGGGGAGACACTTCTCCTCCTTACCGGTGTCTGCGTTCTCCTTCTGCTGCTCTTTCCGCAACGTCTCGTCGATCTGGGCTCGGGTGACTTTGCTCGGGACGAGCGGCTTAGGCACCTTCCCCTTCAGCTGAGCGTCTTCCTCTTCCAGGAGGCGCTGGAGCTCCTTCTTACGCTCCAGTTGTTCCAGGCGGCGCTTCTCGCGCTCCTCCTTCACGTGAAGAAACGGAGAAAAGAGAGAGAGAGAAAGAGTCAGTCCCTTGCGACAGTGGGTCACTCGGCTCCTCCACAAACCAGGGACAGGTAAAACAGGGAGGAGACTGAGGGCAAAAAGGGACGTTATAGAGGACTCGTCGTTAGAAGAGGGAATTCCTTAACTGCTTGATATAGAAAGCATTCACAAGAAAAATACACCACTCAGTGATGGCGAAGGGAAGTGTTTTAACGGTCTCATTTGTACTGCATTTATTTCGTTTCAGAAGACACCTCTGATCTGGGATTTCCAGCACCGACCACTTGTGGTTTTCAATATTTGAAATATTAATGAGGTTTTAAATACTTAGGTTCAGGCTCCGAGTTACATACTGTACTTGGAATTTGTGGTTTTTATGTGGAGGTTGGTTTGGATTATTAATTTCTCTCAGGAAGAAGAGCATACATCGAACCAACAGCAACCCAAAGACTGTTCATGAACATTTTAAAATGTGAGGAAAAGATGGGAGAGAAAGGGGGAAAAGGAAAGAGTGGAAGCTAAAATACTATAGACAGCAAGAGAAAAAGAACAGAGACGTCCAGATAAGGAGGAGGGAGGGAATGACGCGGAGAGCATGAGAGACGGGAAGAAAAAAATGAGAATAAAAGGACCGACGACACAGAACTCTACAGGTTCTCGGTGCCAAATAGAGGCAGGGATCATTAGCAAATTAAGACAGGTGCTCAGTGCAAAGGGGACACCATGCCCCGGGAGACGGTTCGATATCACAGAGGGCCTGAAACCTGAGCCGGATGAAGAAGAGCGGAGTTAAGCTTTTATATCTCCGACTGGTTCTCCATTTGCCCCCCCCCGGTGCAGCCTCGGGTTTTGGGGAGTCACAAGGGGGCCTCGGAGCGGAGCAGCTCGGCATCCACTGATGAAAGTGGATTCAGGAGACCCACCGCCCCAACCGCTGATGTTCTCGAGATGCAGCTGCAGGGTGGATAAGGCCAGGCTTTGGCCAGAGAACGGGCTGCCAGTTCCCCCCCCCATGGGGAGCGCAAAGCAACTGGAAATAACGGAGGGGAAATCATCGGATCACTACGGGAGAAAACGCGATTGGGAAAACGCGGCCAGGTACCAACTGAAGTCAGGCGCGGGGTCCTTTCCCCAAATGGAATCTAAGCACACCTTTTCGGGGGTGGTGAGGGTGGGTGGGCAGAGAACCGAGAGAAAGCAAGCCTGATGTCATGCTTTCGCCGACCCTCTTCACCCTGGGGTGCCGTGACCTCAAATCTCGGCAAAACGGCCCCCAAATCTCTGCAGAAGGAGGTTCTAGTTGGACTCTGACTAAGGCATGGTGTTTTTAGCATCTGTGCATTAGGAATGCCTCCTGCGGTGGTGCAAAAAGGGGGTCTATTAAGAGCAGGGAATGTCCTGAAAGCTGTAGAACAGGAGACACTGGTGAGTTTATTCAGAGACACAGAAGGGGAGCCTAACCTGGCCCTTTATTCGTTCCTTCGCTCGCTCGCTCGCAGCCTGAGCGGCAGGAATCGGCATTTGGGGGGGGGGGGTTTGCTTGTCGGCTGCTGCCATCGTCTGGCCAGACCGAGAAATGGCCGTGTTGCCAAATGTAATACAAGAGCATCGAAAGAGCCCCACAGCCGGCCGGATCAGACCCCAAAAGACCCCGTCTGCTCTGAAAACTTTCTCCCAGAGGGGGTCAAGCTGCTGGACAAGAGAACTACGGAATTCTCCCACGCTCGCTCCCCAGTAAATTATATACCAGAGGGGACCCAGGCGTCCTGAGCAACAGCCCTGAAGACATCCCAACCCTGTAAATTTATCTGGGCCGCTCTGAAAGTTACCCAAGCTGGCAGCCATCTCAGCATCTGGTGGCAGGGAGTTCCACAATTCAACTGAGTGGAAGACTGCAGCAAGGAAAGCTATGGCTCAGGGCTCAAGAAAAGGTGCAAAACCTGATTTCCCACATTCCAGAGAAGGGACAAAACTCAGAACGACATACGAAAACATTGTCCAGTGAGACAGCAAAAAACACCCACACCCACACATGCATACACAAAAGGTACACTGTTTTCCCCGGAACAAACCAGAATGTCCATTTCGTTTATCTCTGCATGATCCACAAAGCAAGCTGGAGCTATGGAGACACACACACCCCTATTTCTCCTGGACAATTCACATCACTAACCAGGGTGGATCTGATTTAAATCAAATTGATGCAGATTTTAAATTTTAAAAACAAGATATTGTTTTTGACAACTTAAATTTTAAAAAATATTTTGTTAAAAATTTAAACCATGACTTAGACTTATTTTTTTAACATCATTGATTTTTATCCACCCCGTCACCAAAAGATTTTAAAAAAGACAGATAGTCCTCTCCAACGTGTACAAACCTGCCCTTAAAAACTAATCGTGAGCTTGTGTTTTTCACTCCAAGAGGAAAAGACGCAAAAGATATAGAAAGAAAAGGAACACTGTATATAAAGATGCTGGTAACACATTAAGTCTCAACCTGACAACATCTGCGGGTGGCCACCAGTGGCCCACCCCTGGCACAGACCGCAGCGGGGCAAAGGGAGGCCCTACAGATGGCATGAGATGGAGACTCGGGGCGGGGGGGATAACCGGCGGCTAGGAATGCTGGGAGTTGTAGTTCTGGAGGGCTGCCATCAGCCCAAGAGAGAGATGGTGCGGTCACATGAGTGGTTTAGAGAAGCAGGCTGTAGCGCACAAAAACACTGGCCACGTAAACCCTAAAACATGTTTAACCCACCCCCGGCTTTTGGTTCCTTTTGGTGTTATAACATCTTAAAATTGGAGATTTTAGAAATGGCGAGACCTAGAAATCGGAGGCACCTTCTCTCTCGGCGTCGGTGTCCTGCTTTCCACTACTTGTCCCCCCCGGCCCACCCGCCCCTGGTTCAGAAACCTAGGCGAAACCATGCAGCCGGCCCGCTCTGCAGGGCCAGCCCCCGCCTGACCTTCCGCTGCTCCTTCCGCATGACATGCTTGTCCTCATCTTTCCAGAAGGCGTCCTCCAGTTCCTTCTGCCGCTTGGCGTCTGCCACAGCCTTGGCCTCCGCCTTCCTCGCCCGGGCGGCTGCCGACTTGGTGTTCTCCCCCTGGAACTTCTTCGGCATTCCTCAGGATGCTGGGCCCTGAAAAGAGGGAGAGAGAGAGAGACGGAGAGCGTCTGTAACTTTGCCCTGCAGAGACACAGAGAACCCTAGAATCCGGGAGGGGGAAGCGAGGCCTCTGAGGTCATCCAGCCCAACTCCCCCCCCCCCGTTCAGTGCAGGAACTCAAATCCAATCAGATTTGACTGAAGGTGGTCCAGTTTTCTCTGGAACGCCTCCAGTGTTGGAGTGCTCATCCCCTTCCCGAGGTCACAGGTCCCGTTGTCGTACTGCTCTAACAATTAAGTTTTTTTCCTGCTATTCTGCCGAAATCCAGCTTCCTGTCCCTTGAGCCCATGATGACATGTCCTGCACTCTGGGAGGATTGAGGACAGATCCTGTCCTTCCTGCGAAGGACTACCTTTCAGGTCTTTGAAAAGTGCCCTGTCCTTCCTGCAAAGGACTACCTTTCAGGTCTTTGAAAAGTGCTCTCCTCTCTTCCCTTAAGTCTTCTTTTCTCACAGCTAAACCTGCCCAGGCCATTGAGGGCCTCATCCAGAAACAAAACCAGCTTCACACTGTGGAAATGTCAAGGGGTAACAAAACTAAGGTCTCCGCCTCTTTGGAAAAAAAGGAATATACCTAAACGTGGAGCACGAGGAGCAACAAAAATTCAGAAGGGAAATAAAAGGAATTGAAGGGAAAACTTTCGGAACCATCTCTGGTCCAAACACAATATATTGTGGTGGAAAGACCTCAAAGCTTCTCACACAGGCCCATTAAATTGGCTAATTTCTGTTGATATGAAACAGAGGCAAATGACAAAATTAGGAGCAAAATTTCCAAACCGTCATCATGCGTCCACCCATACCTCCTGGAGATGGAAATAATTACTTCTGCAATGTAGTAAAAGCAAAAATAAATAAAATAGAGGTGGGGGCGAAATAAGCACAACAATTTAAGACATTTTTATGGCAGATCCTATTCCTTCATTCCTGGCTTTTTTTCCTTAGCTGCTGTTTCACGCTTTCCTTGACCACTGAATGGGGCTCCTTCCAGAAACTGATTGGGGGGGGGGGACATGCAGCAGGGAGTCACGTGACACAGAATGAAAAAGGGGATAAATATTTAAAAATATTTAAAATTTAACAGTTCCTAATCTGGCCTAGAAACCAGGATCAACATAAAAGTTTCAGAAAAAAATCATCTCAAAAGATTTAGTAGTAGGCATCCTTCAGTTTCGAGGGACTATAATAACGTGCTCTGAACAGAGGTCTTGGAACAGCGTCCAGTGTGGCTGAGAAGGTCAATTCAAGAGGGACCGTCCCTTCCACACTGAAGACAAAAGACAATCTTTCCACTGTCCAGCTCCCTGGTTTTGCTGCTTTTGTGACTGCCTCTCTGCCTCGGCCTGCTGGACAAGGGTCTCTTCAAACTGGGTGAGGCTGTGATGCATTGCCTCCAGGCTGAACGCTCAGAGGTCAAGGCTTCCCATCTGTTGAGGTCCATTCCTAAGGCCTTCAAATCCTGCTGCCGAGATCCTTGTATGGCAGCTGTGGTCTCCCTTTGGGGTGCCTTCTTTGCACAAAGTCTCCATATAGGAGATCTTTTGGAATCCGACCGTCAGTCATTCTCAAGACATCAAAGTACTTTCTTTGGAAGAAAGTGGAGGGGGAAAGAGGAAACCATCACAGCGCTTTGATCCCTTCCCCTCCCCACCCACTCTTTATGTCCCTGTATAAGACAAACCTCGATTTTCAATTTAAAGAATTTAGACAAAAGTATTGTACTGTACATGAAAAAATATGGTAATATATTATAATATAACATTTTAAAAACCCCTAGTGAACCACTACATGCAACTATGTCAAAATCTAACAAAATCGCAACAACAATAGAAATAAATGCATGTAAATAAGAACACAAATTTTGAGGGGATGGGTGGGTGCTGCTAGGCTATTGGTTGCTTTGGGAGGGGCAACAGGTAAACAACCCCGTTATTCCTGGAAAAAATGTCTCCCCAGGAAAGAAGAGGGAAGGAGGCAAAAACTGGAAGACCAGCAGCCCCCACCCATTTCTCTTCAGGTGGTGATGGTGGGGCTCCATTATGGAAAACCCTTTTATTTGTGTGTGGAAGGGCTTTAAAGAAACAACAACAACAACAACAACAATAATAATAAAAGACCCTGGGCTGGATTGAGAGTCGAGTGAATAAAATCAAATTTAGGGGTGGAAAGAAAAACAGGGTTTGCTTGGGAGCAGATAATTAGCAAAATGAGGCTAATATGTTCCCCCCCTTCCACAGCCCCAACACTTATGGGGGTGCTTCACTTCTCCCCCTCCCCCTCTCTCTCCCGGCCCCCCTTTCCTCCCCTTCCCTTCTGCCCCCACCGGGGGGGTGGTCCAGGGCCTCCCTTGGGAGGGAGACTGAAGGGAATCCGCTGCCATTCGCCCCCCACCCCTCTCCGGTTTACCTGCCGCCTCCACCTCCGGGCGTCGCAGCCTTTGTCCGTCACGCCCCCGCCCCTCTTTGTCGCCTTCCCTCCTCCCTCTCGGTGGGGAGAGGAAGGGCGTCTTTCCGCCCGCCTCTTCCTTTGCGAGGCCGCCGCGGCCATTTTGGTTGAGGGCGGGGGCCCTTTTTATATATGTATTTATTTCCCCCCCCCCTTCAGGCAAACCTTTCTTTCTCCCGGCCATCCTTTCCTTCCCTCTCTTCCCCAGGCTGAAGAGTCGAAAAAAGGGGCAAATTTATCTCATTTCCGGTACTAATTGCCAGTTTAACTGCCCGCTATAAAGATGGCGCGGACAGCTTCATGCCTCGGCTGACGAAAATAGCCGCTCGTTGCTACCTTTCAAGGCTCGCCCTATACAAAGATGGCCCCCACAGTGTGTGGGGGTTTTTTCCCCCGCCCCTTATGCGCCTGTGCACCCTACCGCCCGGGAAATGGACATATCTCATAGTACAGAATGGGAGGGGAAATCCAAGATGGTGGCAGTTCCTTTCCCGGTGTCAACATGGCCGCCACGTAGGTCATGCCGCCCTTTGCCAAGATGGCCGACCGGTTGCCGTGGTAACAGCCGGGCTTGCTTCCAGGGGGAAAAATCGGAGATGATTGCAATTAAAAAAAAAAGTTTGTTTTTTGGAATGAAGCTGCATGGATTGCACAGTTTCGGAAGCATAATGGCAATAAAATGTGTGATGTTTTTGCCAACACAAGCAACACTGCCAAAAATCCTGCCATCCGTCATTATAACCTAATAAAAAAATATAATACGATTAAAAACCAGGAAACGTTGCTCCCTAAAAGCCACACAAAAAAAAAGTGCATAATTGAACAAGGAAAAGAAGTCAGGGAATGTTGCAGTGTGAATTTTCTGCTCTTATTTACTTCCTGATACGAAGCATAAACAGGAAAGAATGGAAAATAAAAAACATGATTTCCTATTTATTGGTACAAGAAAACCAATCCAGTTATTTAAAAAAAACTAGAATGAAGTTTTCCCTCAAAGATTGCAGGAGAATTATAGAGATGAGGGTCCTCAGAGGCCATCTAGTCCAACCCACCGGGGCAGGAAACCCACAGCAAGAACCACCTCAAAAAGATGGTCCTCCACTGGCCTTTTAAAAACCTCCCACCCATGAGATCCCATTTGCATTCTGCCACACAGCAGCTGAACCTGGGCACACATATTTCACACCCTGTAGGTTCCAGCCAAGCCACACAGAAGTAAAGTCTCTGTTTGTTTGTTTCTCTCTTTTTATTAAAGGAATACGTTCGCGGCTGTATGGTAGCTTCAGCTTCTTGCAAAGAGGCCAAGCCATAAAACAATCCCCTTGTTAGCTTCCTGAAATCATGCACATTTATTTATTTCCTTTGCCCGGTGCTTTTCTGGTGAGTAGGAACAAAACACAACATGACCAGAATGTAGACCTTTATTTGAGAAAGACTTTATTAACAATATTTCATAAGGAAGGAAGGAAGGATGGAAGAAGAGGGAGGAAGAAAAGAAAGAAAACTAAAGAGGAAGGAAGGAAGGAAGGAAGGAAGGAAGGAAGGAAGGAAGGAAGGAAGGAAGGAAGGAAGGAAGGAGATGATGGGTGGAAGGAAAGAAGAAGCTGGTGATGGGTGGAAGGAAGGAAGGAGCTAGTGGTAAGTAGAAGGAACTGGTGATGGATGGAAGGAAGGGAAAATAAAGAGGAAGGAAGGAAAGACTGACAGACAGTCCAAGAGACAGTCCTGTCCAACCGGGGACTTCTGGAAACCCCATTTCTAAATAAGAAACAAACAGCAGTTTTTGTTGAGAAAGATGAACAAAATAAAAATGAATGAAAGAGCGAGGAAGGGTGCAAAAGACCTCTACATGCAACCAGTACTTCCAACATTCCCAGCGGTACAGCCAAAAGTCATGAAACCACCGCATCGTGTGAAAAGGGACAAGGCGCCCATACAGACGGTCGTTGATCCAATTCCCAGGATTTCCCAGTAAGGCTGGGGGAAAATACTTCCCAGTTCTGTCTGAATCTTTGGAGAAGCCCAGCCGAGTCTTTCCAAAAGCAAAGGCGGGGTGTAAGGCAGTCAATTCCTACCTGACTCCCATTTCTCCAGAGCAATGAGAACTAGAGCCTTGGTTTGTCTTTAGGAGGAAGGGCCCTAACTCAGTGCGTGAGCCAGGCAGGAAGTCCAAAGGGGATCTTTGACATCCCTAGGTAGAACGGGAGAGACCTCCCACCCCAAAGGTGGAGTCAGAATCCGGAAAAGTTGCAGGATCTGGGTCTGAGTGGAGAAGCTGAAGATGCAAACAACAACCACCTGCCTCCAAAGCATGAGCTCACTCAATGGGCGAAAGAGAGAACTGGAGCTGGACACCAGCTTTTGGAACAGGGTTGGGCCAAACCCAGACGGTGTGGGGCCCCTTTCAGCCACAGCTTTGCAGCCCGACCAGGGGAAGGAGGGTCTCCGGAGGTCTGCCACATGTTGCCATGGGTCTTGTTGCAACTAAGCCAAGCACATCCCCACCCCCGAGCCTGTCGGGGCATCATTGCTGATTTCCGGGGGGAGCCCCCGGCTCCCTACACGTTGGTTTCTCGGAGGACGTGGAAGCAGCTGTGGTCAAAAGCGGGGCAGATGCAGACGGATTCCTTTGAGCTTCTGATGGAGGAGGCCCCCGCCAGCCCTTCCTTTCCCATCAGGATCTTCTCCTCCGCCGGAAACTCAGCTGAACTCAAAGAAACGGGGAGAAAAGCCTCCTTTTGCAGGTCCGGAGAGTTTCCAGGATTCTGCACAGAGCACAGGAAAGGACAGGGTGTGAGCAGAGCAATGCACCCCCCTGGCCACCACCACTTCCTCCTAGGCAGGCCTGGGGATGCTGGCATTTTTCCCCTTTTCCCACCCACCCCAGAGACTCAGCAGCCCCCCAAGAGCTTCTCCACAGCTGGAGTCTGGCCCTCCGATTGAAAAACGTCCCCCGACATTTGCTGTGAAGAAGGGAGGCAGTGTATCCTGGGTTCCCACATGCTGGGGATCATGGAGTTTGTAGTCCATGGTGCTAGGAGGGAACCGGGTTGGGTGGAGAGTAATCCAGAAGACTATTTCCCACTCAAAGGGCTCAGGTTTTCAAGAACACCATACCATGCTGGTCGGACAGCGTAAGCCCTCCTGGTTTTTGTGCCCAGCCCGCTTGCCCCCCTCAACTTTGTACCTTGGGGAATGGCTTCATGACCTCCTCAGGGGATACCGAGGAAGTCTGCTTCATGATGTCCCACCACAGCACACCGGGATGCTTCATGCTCCTTTTAGAAGGCCCTGAAATTAGAACCAACAACAACACAGAATATTGAGGGAGCTAGTCCACATTGAGGACGCATGGCCTTTGGTCATGGAGAGACCCTCCAGAAGCAAGACGGAGAAAAGCCCCACCTTTTAAATTCTTGCCGTCACCCACTTTCCATCCTGAACATGGAAGGGTGGGCACCTTTTGAGGAAATTTTTCAGAAATATGCCCTTAAACACACACACACCCAGTACTAGCACATTGGGTCTCTAAAAGCTGTTCCCAGCAACCCTCCTCCCTGTTCATGCTTGGCAGATCTTGGCCAAAAAAAACAAACCAGGAGGAAGTTCTTGTTCATCAAAGCGGAGAAAAAGATGGCAATCCTTATATGGAGCAGGACAAACGTGCCTGAATATTCAGGGGTGAAAAAAAAACTAGATTTGTGAAGAGCAAAAAACAAACTCAAGACCTTGGCAAAGAGGGAGGATCTTTGATCTTTAGATTCTCCCACATTGATTTTTTGGGGGAGGGGGAATTAAAACAGAATAAATTAATCAACAAATGTTCATTTCTTCTTTCCCCCATTTAGCCACATTTTGGTAAATTTTTTAAACTGAAATTGGAATTGCCTCTGGATGTTATCTCTCTTAAGAAACAAGTAAGTTCAATTGAATTGGATTTATTTCATTAAATGGATTCACAGGAGCTCTCCAAAGTACTGAACTGGCACACCGGGCAGGCGGGGGGGGGGGCCAAATTTATTTCATTAAATGGATTCACAGGAACTCTCCAAAGTACTGAACTGGCACACTGGGCGGCGGGGGGGATCAGGACCCGGGAGAGCTCCGTTTCAAAAGCCCTGAAATTCATTAATTTCAGTAAAAGGGGAAAAAACAAAAACAAACAAAAACTCAACAAATTTATTTCCGTGTGAAGTTGCAGGAATTCGAACCCAGTTCTTTTACTTTTTGGCCCTCTCTTGCTAAATCTGAACTCAAACCCGGCGTCTTCCACTTTCACTGAATCAAACTAGATATTAGGAAGAATCGGCATTCTTTCCAATGAACCTGTTTTGACTCCTGTAACATGACTTTCTTAAAGCGGCATCCATTTAACTTCCAACTCAAACCCACGTTTTCTTTCCAGAAACCAACTACAAGAAGAGAACACAAGGGAGGTCAAGACACAAAGGGAAGGACAGCCGCATGCTACGACAAACAGATGTGATTTGGGGAGGAAGAAGAGCACCTCTTGGAAACACGGAATAAACATGCCGTCGGATTCAATCCTGAGACATTGAGGCCACAAATATTTCTGAGAGCTTGGGACGAGCCCCGTTCGTCGACTTTAAAAGAGCAAAATGGCAGAGGTGAAAGAGTTTGGTGCTGGCTCTTACCTTTCAGGCAGCCTACCACAGTCCCAGCGATGATGGTGGTGATGGTTCCCAAGGCACCGTAGTAGAGGTAAGACATGGCATAGAAGTCGTCCAGAATGCCCAGCCTGCCAAGAAAAGGATCTCATCAGACGTGATCTTTAACGAAGGAATCCAAATTATGACTGGAGATTTTTTTAAAATCAAACATAAGGCAGAACGGTGTGGCAGAGGATGGGGTCCCATCCAAAGGGCTCTTCACCCCAAGAGGCTTTTAAGCAGAGTCTGGGTGGCTGTCTGCCTTAAGTGGATTTCTGGTTAGTCTAGATGACCTTCAGGAACACCATCAGACTCTAAAGTAAGCACCATCGTTCTTTCTTCTCCACCTCACCTCTCTATGGATTCTGAGACGTCCATGGGGGGAAGCAGTCCAAAAACGATGGTCCCATTTACTCCTTCAGAGGCATTATAGAGCGGGCAAAAGTCTCCGTAGGAGGGAAGCACCCCCATCGTGGCCTCGCTGGGGGGGTAGATCGTTCCCCCCACTGCGACCCAGAAGGAGAGGGCAAAGCCGGCACCAAGACCGACGAAGACCCCCTGAGAACCAAGAAAGAAAAAGAAAAAAAGAAGACCGAGGTTTAGATCAGAAAAGGTGAGGAGCAGCTGCCCAAGGCTCTCCGGGCTTCTTGAAAGACACGGATCAGGTCCAGCCATGACTCTTACACCATGCTGACTTACCGCAGTGTTGCACACCGGAACAAACATGCCCAAAACGAATGCTCCCAGAAGTGGGCCACTAATCACCCCCATCACGGTGAAGGAACCCTGGATCGAGGAGGGGGGAAAAAGACCCACAAGATGAGCATTTATAAAAATCCAGAATTGCTAAGGACATTGCTGGCTGTAACATCCCAGAAGCAGGGGCTAAAAAAGGGGTTTCTGGACTATTTTGACCGGTGTCTTAAAAGGATGAAGGCCGTGCAGAAGATCCTGGCCCGACCCTTTCGGCTTTTTTCAATCCTGACGAGGTTTATTTCCCCCCCCCCAGGTGATCCTGCTTCAAATGACCGCCCCAAGTTGGACATGCTTCAGGGCCGCTACAATCGGAGACCTTGAATTTCTGATTGGGAAGGACAATGGGAGAAAGGTGAATGGCAGGACAGAACAGGCTTTCTGATAACGCAATCGGTTGCCGCGGTGTGTGCCTCCACCCACAGGTAATCTAAGGGCTTCCAGGCTGGACTGCTACAGGGCGTTGCATGCAGGGCGGCCCTTGGAGACCACTGGGAAGCTGTGCATGTGTATCTGAAGAACCAGCTGCAATAGGAGCACTCTACCTGAAGGACGCCACCACCAAGCAATGTTGACAGAGCCGCTACTGTGATGCAGGACGTCCCGTAGATCAATGCTAGAGACACAAAACAGATGAGGGGGCCTCCCTCAGCCTCATGGCTCCAGAGGAGAAAGCCAAAGCCCCCCCAGGGGGTCCAGCCATGACCCCGGCCGCCCTCATGGCTCTCCACTTACACAGCCCCTTGGAGATCAGAGTGAGCTTCCGGGGCGAGAGGTTTGGGAGATTCGGCTTTATCAGGTCCTCCACAGTGACGGCCGCCATGGCGTTGATGCTTGTTGAAGCCGTGCTGAAAGGAACCGACAGGCATGATTTTTGGGGGGGCAGCGGGAGAAGAGAGCTTGCACCCAAAAGATCCCCCCAGATTTCCTCCCTGGGATCCCCTGCTCTAAAACCCTGGAGAGCTGTCTTTGCCAGTGAGGCCCAGCAGGATTTGACTTCACTTCCTAGGCCCCTAAGGCCTGTCCTTTATTTTGAAGCATGAGGACCGGAAGCTTAGTTCACATTTAAGGGAAGAGCCGAACGTTAAAGCGAAAGTCTTTATTTTGCACGCCAAAGGTGCCCGTTTCCGGCAGGCTCTCCAGGAAGGCCTTTTTAAAAAGACTCTGAAATCTCACCAAATCATGTATGACATTGGAGGGACCCTTTAACAGTTTTGCTCTAAACCATGAGGACTAGAAACAGGATTTGTGTTTATAGAGAAGGGTGCTTACGAACCTCAGCGTCCCGCTGTAGGCACAGGCTAGGAAAAGACCAGGCACCCCGGGGTATTTCTCGAAAATATCCAGAACCAAATAGGGCATGTACTGGAGAAAAGAGGAGGACGAGAGAACCCGTCGGTGACCAAAAAAATAAAAGCCATGACTCCATCCACACACTCTCTCCATGGGGGGACCGGAGGGATCTTGAGGACTGGAGCCTTTCCTTCATGGTGAAGAGAAAGGCAGCCGCTTGTTTATCAGGGACTGAGGTTGGAAACAACTGCAGGGGTTCAGAGGTTGAAGCCTGCCGTGGTGCCAACATTTCCCTTTCCTCCCCCCCCATCACATCCCTGTGGAGGCCACCATTTGTGGCTGGGCACGAGGCCATCGGGAGCCAATCAATGAGGAAAAGAGGTCTCCCCCTCAGCCACGGCCCACGATGAGCCTAATGGAACCTCCAGCCCGAGAGGCAGTCTACCTTTCCACCGACGGCTGCTTGAGTGCAACCACCAGGGAGGAGAAACTGAGGCCACCTCTTAGTTTTAGATTATTTTCAGGCTGTCTAAAGTGTCCATTTCTTTCTCTTTCTCTCTCTCTCTCCCCTCACCGTCTTCGAGCTTCTGAACCACAGCACAAGAGGAAATACCTGGTCGGGCGCCGAGATGTATCCGGCCAAGAGAGGATCACAGTCCTTGTAGAGGGCAAACATCACAATGCCACAGCCCACCGCGCTGGAAACGATGACGAAGAGGCCAAGCTGGTTGACCAGAAGCGCCCTGGAGAGACGAAGCGGAAGAAACCGAGAGGAAGGAAAGAAAAACATGGCATGAGTGGAAGGAGCCAAACGGCCGGGAAGGAAAAGTGTCCCAAGAAGCCAAAACCCTCTCCCCTAAAACCAGGGTGAGATCATCTGGCAGCTTCACCTTAGTGCCCGGGGTTCCTTTTTAAAGTTTCAGGGCCTGAAAACGTCTGATTTAAAAGGGGTCATGAGGACTAGAAACCGTCTCTTTAGTTAAAAGACACGTTCAACACCCCCCCTGCTTTGCATGTGATGCAAAGGGAGGCCGGGCAGTCTCCTTTTTCCCATCCTAGACTCCTTGCACAAACCCAAGACGCAGGGGGACGGCCCAGCTGGCTTCCAATCACCCTGTGACCCGGGCTGTCTGGCCACCTGGCGTTGGGGCGGGGTAGCCACAAACACGCCGGAGGATAACGGCGGGGTTATCAGGTTCACCGAGAAATACGCCTTGAGTCTATAGGCTTAGAGGGAGGTAGCGCAGAACCCGTGGCCAGTGGCACGGAGGCATGCCACGGACTGGGTCACCCCCCATTTGCCTCCAGGTCCCCGGTTCTATTCCAGGAACCGTGGGGGCACCTTAAGGACCGGGAGGGGCAACTGGGAGCCTTCCCGGTGCTGAGGGACCTGGGGTCCCATCATCCTGAGACAGATCGGGGCAGCCCATGGAACTTCTGTGAACAAAGGAGCATTTCCAAATTATTGGCCACCATTTTGGGGGTATGTGGGGCAGCTTTGGTTAAATCTAATTATTGCATGGAACAGAAGTGGCCAACGTCCAACCCAGTTCTCTATGCATCTCTCTCAGGAAAGACCCGGATCGTCCCCGGGGTCCCCCCCACTCCCCACCGGCGCCCCTCTACCCAACTCACAGCTTGGCCTCTTTCTCCGTCTTGCAAGCCACGTAGCGTTGCACCTGCGCCTGGTTCACCCCGTACATGGAGAGCCACACAAGCGTCCCCCCAAAAATGAATGTCCAGAAGGTGTACCGGCTGCGGGGATCCGGGTTGAAGCTGGGCAGTGAGGAAAGAAAAGCAAGCGGGAAACATCCCAGTCAGTTTGGGAGACCAGGTTGTACCCTCTCAAGAGGTGCAGGAAAGTTCGAACTAAAACCCAGACCGGATTTGCTGCTGCTGCCGCTCAACCAGGGTCTCACCCACCCATGTGGAAGCAAAGGAAGGGAGCAAAGGAAAAAAGAAAAGAGAGAGAGAGAGATGGACTAAAACCCAGACCGGATTTGCTGCTGCCGCCGCTCAACCAGGGTCTCACCCACCCACGTGGAAGCAAAGGAAGGAAGCAAAGCAAAAAAGAAAAGAGAGAGAGAGAGAGAGACTTACTCAGCTATGTTGATCCTGGAGTTGTTGTAGGCGATGCCAAGGACTTGGCCAGGCCCTCCCACCATGAGTGTTCCCTGGATCAAGATGGCTATGAAGCCGGACAGCATGACAAATACCTGGAAGACGTCAGTCCAGATGACGGCCTTCATCCCGCCCTGAAAGACAGGGGAAGGCATAGAAAATACAAGGGTTCTTAGTGACAGATCCTCCATGGACAAGTGCAATCTACCACAAGAGTCCAGAAAATTCGGGGGTGGGGACAATGGGTCCCCCCACAAAGATTCAGGGGTACCCCTCCATGCAGATTTCCTGAGGACATCACCAAAACAGTTAGAGAAGGACCCCCAAATTTCAGCGGCCTTAGTTATTGGGGAAAAAAAGACTCCCAGGAGGTTTCCTATGGCCCGTCTCGGGGAATAGGGAAGATACTCACGATGGTGGTGTAAAATGTACAGATGAAGCCCGTGGAAAGAAGCGAGGCCCAAATGTCCAGCCCAGTCACTAGAGAGATAAAGCGGTACATGAACGTTTAGAAGGTGGTGACCAAAACCCATCACCCAACGTATACCAGTTGTTTATTAATGATTCTTTATGAATCAGTAACGAAATCAAGAGGCAGTTTTCCTGGGTGATGTTGGTGCCGGGCGGAAGCCTCTGTCTTTCGGCATGACCCCTTTTGGCTGTTGTTTCAAACTGGAAGCTTAAAGTCGACTCTAGCATATAAGCAAGCCAGAGCAGTGCATTAGGGCAGCAGGAACCAAATTTACCTTGATTGAGGATCAGTGCAGGGGCGTAAATCACAATCCCGGTGTACAGCATCTGGGGAGGGAGGCGAGAAACAAACCTGTCTGAGACCTTTCTAAAATCTGCAGGTGCATCTCAGGAGATGAAGGGGCTCTCGGCCGCCCAGGACTGGTCATTCCTGGCGGAGAGGCCACGCCGAGACACATTCCAGGAGACTTACCGTGGCCAGGACATACTGGATGGTCCCACACAGGCGGACTTTCTTGGAGAACCTGAGCTCCAGGTACTGCGGAGAGAAAATCGGGAGGGGGGTAAGGGAACTGGAATCCCAGCAGGAAGACGCTTTCCCCCGGAGCACCACGGAAAAGTTGCTCTCTGTGGGTCCTGATATTTTCTTTGGCTTCAAGGACATTCATTCACAATGATCATATTTTTCCATGTATAAGACTATACTTTTGTCTAAAATCTTTAGACTTAAAATTGAGGGTCACAGAAGTAAGCTGAGGCGAGAACAAAAACAAGCGGAGGGGGAAGCAGGGAACAAAGCGATCCCGCAGCGCTTTGATCCCTTTCCCCCTATACATGCTAAGTCCCACTTAGATTTCTTAATTTTGGATTAGAAAAGTGGGGGGCATCTTATACATGGGGATGTTTTATACATGGAAAAATACGGGTACTTTTGAATCACAAGAAAGGAAAGTGTGGATTCTTTGATACTCATCCCTGTTTGACCCACGGGGAAGAAAGGGGTCCGCACCACAGCCGAGCCAGAACTAAAAGCTCCCGGGACCTGCAATGCACCTCACTCTCCCTACGGAGAACACACTTCCAGCTGTTTCGCTGCTGGGTCCTCATTCCCGGCCGAAATTTGTAACCCCGGGCCAGCACGTGACCACCTCCTCTTTCAAAGCACCGACACCTTCCCAGGCGTCTATTTGTCCCATCAACCACACAAGCCCAAAACCCACCACGTGGGATGTCGTCCTGTTTATCCAGGTCCACGGGGTGGCCTAGCTCAAGCTGTGGTTGCATCTAGTGAACTCTGAGTTGTGCGCACGTGTGTTTTAAAAAGGAGATTGTTTTTCCCCAAGCAAATAGCAAGGACTCAGCTGTTCCTGTGTGTCAGGGCCAGCTGTTTCTGGCCCTACTTCTTCGGAGAAAATATTCGCCCTGTTGTTTCCCAGCTGAAAGATGCATCGGTGGAAACCCAGTAAATGTGTTCTTTTTTAAAAGTCAGATGGTTCCGTTCAGGCGAAGCGCAACCTCATATGCAGAGAAGTGGATCTCTGAACAAACACACAACTGCACAAGCGCACACCATGTTCCCCTGCCCTTAATCCCACGGAGGCTGCTTGCACATTTGCGTGAAAGACGGCCCTCTCCGTTTGGGGCTCTTGAGAACCTCCCCAGCCATGATGAGGAGAGGCGGCTGAGCAAAACGCCCGGGAGCGCAGAGCAGTTTCTCCGTGGCTCGAGGCAAAAGTCAGGGAGAAAAGTGCATGCGTCCGCTTTTGGGGGGTTTCTCGTGGCGCTCTCAGCCTCAGGCAGCAAAAGGTATCGGGGAGCCAACCCTGGCATCCAATCCCTGGAGATACACAGAAATAGAAGTCAGTGTGTTTTTTTGGGGGGGGTGCGCTGGGAGTCGCACCATGGTGCCCAAACGTTCAAGAACTGAGGAGGGAACTGGATGGAAAGGGAGATGATGCCGAGCATGGTGGCCACTTTGCACATGCTCTAGGATGGGGCGGCCCTCTAGAATAGAGGGTTTAACTACAAATCCCAGCGTTCACCCAAAGTTTGCTAGGCTGGCCAAAGCCGTCTGGCTTCGCCAAGATGCCAGAACTGGAGGGTGGCAAAGGGACAAACGGTTTCTCCAAACAACTTGGCGGGGGGGGGGGGAAGAGACAAAGAGTCTCCCTTTGATGTTTTTCCACTTTTCAGTCCCAAATAAATAGTGGAAACTCCTTCATAATGGAAAGAGCCCCAGGAGGGACCTCTGACTCTTTATTATCTTAGAAAACAAGTAGGCAAAAAGTCAGGGCTCTGCAATCTGAAGGATGTTTGTAGATCACAATGTGGAATGTCAACACATGCAGAAAATAAACTGTCCCCAAGCAACAGTGTGGCTTTTTAAACTACTAACCCCATCGTCCCTGGAGCCTGGCCGTGCCGGATCCAGGCTCATGGGGGCTTTGAGACCCAGCTTCCACATAAGGCCTCCATTTTCTCCACCTCTAAGGGTGTTGTATTTGAATAGGGGGACGCGGGATAGGCTGTGTGTCTGTCCAGGTGCTACCAAACTACATCCCCCATCATCCTCAGCCGGCATAGCTCTATCTGATTTTGATTCAGGGCTGTGAGGTATGGGATTCTGGTCAATTGTTAGGAGAAGGAACACCAGCTTTCTGATTCAATGGAGCTAAATTTAAAAAAAAATAGCCACCATGAATCCTTTCAAAGAGAAAGGCAGGATAAAAATATTTTAAATAAATGAAAATAATTTTTAAAATACACCTTCTCATGGCAGAGCCTGTTGATTTCTAGAAATGTCTAGCCTTTTGCACCCACGGCAACACCGGATTTTGTTCCGAACCATCACAGACTCATTTTCTCATGCCTCTGAGCTAAGAGGGGAGCTCTCCGGGTCCCTGAAGACAGACCCGGCATTGTCTACACGGGGAAAACATCTGAAATATGTAGCTTTTGCTCCGTCACCTTTCAGGACCAACCAATCGCCATTTCCCGGATCGAAAGGGAGGAAGGCTTGGCTGTATCCTTCTTCTACTTACGCCCAAAGTGCATTTAGTTTTTTTTTTAATTAAAATTTTGCATCACCTGGTCAAACATTGGATTTAAGAGCCAGAAAAATGTTTGCTCCTTTAGCGAAAGATAAGACAAAAAGAGAGGTCTCTTTATCGGCCAGGTTTTTTTTAAAATTGACCATTCCAGATACTTTTTAGGCCAGTCCAGCACATATTAAATAGCCACCGTGGCACCATGGAACGGGTGGCTTAGCCTTCATATGCAGACAGACGAGCAGGGAAACCCATCATCCTCAATTCCTCCTCGAAATTCTCACACACACCCCTGTGGTGGATCATCAGTGATCTGAACCTAGAAAGCTCCTTTGGAGGATAATGGGCTTTTTAGTCCAGGGGAAATGGCTTTGCCTAGCTCTGGAATTGTCGCCCAGCGTTTCTGGACTCTGATCAAACAGGCTGCTTAATTTTTGCAAAATCCCAAGGGTTTGGGAGGGCTCTTAGACACCCCTTCTCGATCGTCAAATCCCTCCGATTTATTGCTGCCCAGTTTTCCGAGGTTTCGAGATGCTTCCAGAGCGGCTTCCCTGTGCTAACCCCCCAGACAGTTTCTAGGGCTTAGTGGGAATTTGAAACCCGATCTCCTCAGTCCTGGAACAACACCTGAACCGCTACGCCAAACCTACAAGCAAATGCAAGCATTATAAGAATCCCAAGAGTCTGCAGTCTATAAATCGGAGGCCTCTTCATTTTAGATTCACCTTGAGGTCATGCCTGCCTCTCCCCGCCCCCCCAAAAAATCTTATCCATCTCATAATTTTACAACTCTGGAGAGTCCAGGGGGGTTCATGCCAATCCAAAGGGACAGGAATATCACTTCACATTTAGAAAAAAAATAAAATAACATAAAATACACAATCCTTTGATTTTAAAAAAAGGGGGGGTTAACTAAAATTTGCTAAAATTGCACCCAGTATCCGATCAATTTCCTTTTAAAAGGAGTTGATAATAAAAAGGATGTCATGGACACACAAACTCACAACCATTAAAAAACAACAACAACAACATAACCCTGTGTCCTCTCGGCTGGCTCCTTACCTCGTACGTGCTGGTGAGTCCCAGCCGGTAGAAGACAGGGAGGAAGAGATAGGCTGTCAGGAGGGTGTTAACGAGCTGCCCCAAGCACATCCAGAGGAATTTCATGCCGTAGCGATACGCTTCAGCCGGGACGCCCAACACTTGGATGGCGGACATGAAGCTGGCGGAAAGGGAGAGCCCCACTGGGATGGCCGACATCTGGCGCCCGCCCGTGAAGAAGTCCTCAGAGGTCTTCTGGCCACCTTTGGCCAAGGCATAGAAGAGGCCGATGCTGGTAGAGATAAGGAGCATCAGGCCAAAAACGCTGTAATCCCACAAGCTGAAAGTGAGCATCTCTGATTTATAGGACTCGAGGCCCACCGTTTGGGACATGTTGCTTTCCAGCGGATTCGGATCACACACCTTTTAGCCGAAGGAGGAGGCTGGAGAGAGAGAGAGAGAGAGCAAAGCCAGGGTCTCAAAACCCAACAGAAAAAAACTCAATGGAGAAAATGCTGAAATCAACAATGGAGAGACGCACAAATTAAACCCGGCTCTTTTATGCCCACTGTTATCGGCAGCAGGAGGAAAACAGAGGGGCTGCCCCCCTTCCCAGGGCTGAAAACAAATTACCCCACCAATCGCCAGATTGAAATGTCTATTTTCAATCCAAGAATTTGTGCCTAGAGGTGTCCGGATGGGAAGCAATGCTCCCGCAGGGGGAAGAAAAGAAACGACACCCGAAAGAAGATCCAGAGAGTTCGGGAGATACAGAGGGCACGATTACAATGTCAATACAAGTCCCAAGTCCCCTGTTTGGAATGTGGCTGGCCAACCCAGGGAGAGACGGACGAAGGGCCAAAAAAGAAAAAAAAATCAAAACAAGCAAGAGGTGCTAATTAAAAAGAAAGAAAGGAAATAGCAAGGTAATTCCAGAAATATTGTAAAGTCCATCAAGTCATTTTTTTTATAGACAGAGATTAGATAAGATTTCCCAGTAACTGCCCTAACATAGTTTATGGTCACATCTGTTTGGGTTTTTAACAAGGAAGGGGCTGATGATGAATGAAAGAAAGAAGGAAGGAGCTGAAGAAAGGAAAGAAAGAGAGAAAGAGAAAAAGAGAGTAAGAGAGAAAGAAAGGAAGGGAGAAGAAAAAATTATTCTCTTTAAAAAAAAAAGGGAAATAAATGAAAAAAATCACAGGTGAGTGGCTGGGAAAAACGAAGAAGGAGCCGGCAGGAAAAGCGGAAACGAGATTCACCTTTCTCCACCCCCAACTCCAAAAAAAACACAAAAAAGTTGACCCCAAGTTTCCTCCGGTGGCTGGAATGCAGCTGGAGAGCGAGAGAGAGAGAGCCGGTGGCCGAGTGTGCCAAAGGCCAGCAACGGGGAGGACTCGGCGTCGCCTGGACTGGGAGGCAGACGGATGCCCAGGAAAGGATGCCCAGGAAAAACCAGTCTGCCAGCCAGTCACTCCTCTGGTTCTTAAGGAGCCTGCCCCTGCTCGCTGGGGTGGGTGATAAGAAGGGAGGCGTCTGGACTCTTCCCCACACCCCTTTGCAAGGGGGGGGAGAGGCTGGTCTCCTAGAGGGCAAAGGAGCCTGTGGTCTCTTCTCGCTCCCAATCCTGCTTCTTCTGGGTGGTTTGCCAAGCGCCGACCTGGCACGGCAAGGATGAGGAAGCAAGGGGGAAGGCATTGGGATTCCCTGCAGGAGGAAACAGCTTCATCTTTATTTTTATTTATTTTTTTTGCACCCAGTAGAAAGGAAGAAAAAGAAACACAGGGGGGTGGGATGGGGAGGAAGAGAGATAAATTTCCTGGTTACACAACTGGGGGGATTTCCGGGAAGGGGGGTAGAGAAGAGCAACAGCCCCTAAGGAAGGCCCCAAACAGAGCTAGGCACTATGGACCGTTTTCTGCAGATCTCCTCCACGTGGCATCCCCGTGGATGGGGTGGGTGGGGAGAAAGGCAGTCTGGCTGGGTTGGGAAGTGAGGGGCCGCCGGAGCCTGAAATGGCAGGCTGGTTTCCCAAAAAAGCCACCTTTTGAGACACACGGGTTCCACCTGGCACCGGCGTCCGTGGCCAGCCATGGATCTGCCGATGCTCAACCAAAAGTGTTTTCTCCAAGGGCCACTAAGCTTTTTTTCTTCCCAGGGGGAGGGACCCGGTGTTCCCTTCGGCTTCCCGTGACCCAATCAGGAGCAACTCCCAACCCGAGGCTCTCCAGGGAAAGGGGGCTCCCTCCCACACCATCGTCCACACCAATACGGGGATGATGGTGTTTGTTGGCGTCCAAGTTGGGCCAGGCCGGAGAATGGAATATGTTGCTCTCCACTTTCTTTCCTTCTTTCTCTCTCTGTCTCGCACCGTTCGGAAGCTGACCTTGTGCCTTTTGCCTTTCCGACCAAGACGGCCAAGCTCTCTCAGGGACGAAGCGTCGACGTGCCGGGTTCTAATCTCACCGTCTCTGTTTGCAGATCTCAAGGAGAAGGAAGAAGCTGAGGGAGCAGCTTCTCTTGGCTGGCCCACTGGATACGGGGCTGGCGTCCTGGCTTAGGGGCTCCCCTGAATTGTGTACATCCACATGCTTCTGGTATTTATGTGCCCGCTGGAGAAAGGTGTCTCCTCGCCCAGCTTTTTCCCAAGGGAAGTGTGTCATCCTGGGCTCACGCTAAACTTCAGAAATTCCCCAGTTGCTACACAAACAGGCCTCAGATTTCTCCAACCCACAAAAACCCCTTCCTTCGCCTGACAGGCCAGGAGGCAGCAGCTTAAAGCTATTGTGTTTGTCCTGGGTGTGGGACCCACAGAGAAGCAACAAGGAAGACCGGAGGGCCGGGGAAACTCCAGGGAAGCATGAGGACTAGCTGCTTAACTCCCATGCAAAAATGCCTGGCTTCTTCTTCCTTTTTTTGGAGCAGAACAGGCAGCTCTCTGGCCCCATGCGTGCCAGCTCTCTGGGATGTCATGCATGGGTCTGGCGGCTCGTCCTTTCCTCTCGTCATTCATCACAAGCTCCATCCTTTTTTCCCAGGCAGATGTCACTAGTCCTCAAAGAAAGCAAACAGTGCTGAATCACACTCCAAGGGTCACTGATCCTCTCTTTGTGATTTCTTCAGAAGACCAAAGAGGTGCTGCTGCTGTGCAAAAGGGGCGGGGGGGGGGAAACGTAAAGACTTCCTTCTTCACGGCTGAAATTCCCCCAGGTCTGAATCACCGCCCCACCCACCGAGTAAACGCTCCTCTCTCGGCCCCGCTGGTGTCACTTTCGCACACAGTTCCGGGCAGGTACAAGGGGCCAAAATCAATAAAAACTTGTTAAAGTGGGTGGGCCAGGGTGGGGGGGTTTCTCTCGCTAGCGTGGTGTCTGCATTTGGCACCAATGTCTTTCTTTGATCATGTTTCAAAAAAAACAAACAACACCCAAAATTGAATAAATGGTCATCCCATAGTGTCAAATCTGAAATAAGAGGAGGGCGGAAAACATGTTGAATCCTTTGCGGTATCCACGTTCACCCTCCCCACTTTGAAAAGTGCAAACACAGTTGGGAAGCTGATTGGGAGCCAATTCCTGGTAGAACAAACAGATGTCTTTTGCCTCTTAAGGCAGTGTTGCTTCTAAATGCAAAGCTCAGTGGCTCACCTCATTTGACCTTCTGGCTCTACTGCTTGCGTCTCAAGACGGTTTGGTGTTTACCTTTTTAGTGAGTTCCGTGAACACTTGAAGACGAATGAGTTTTACAAGGCTGATGTTTCTGCGGGCTGTCACTCACGATGTCCGAAACAGGGACCCCCAGCCGCCTGAGGGTCCCTGAAAGCTCATCTCAAAAAAAAGCCTGGGCAGTTTTGAGGCTGACACAAGACCCTTGGTCTGTTGTGAATCAACATAGGAACATGGCTGACTCTGTGGTCATGTACAATCCCCGCCTCATATTAACAATGTTGGTTTCGATCCCCCCGAATGGCGTGAGGACTTTTCGTGATGAAGCGTGGTGGGTGAACCCTTGCAGGCTGATCCTCTCGGAGGGCTTCCCACGCAGATGCTTGGAACCCGGGATGCTGAAGGGGAGATGGGCTACCATTCCCATTCCCACCCCCCAGGCAAGGAAAGGCGGCCCATGCACACCCTGTGGCTTGTGTTCACTCAAGGCCAGGGAAGCCACGGAGGGAAGCCACTCAGCCACAGAAGAGAGCCCACGATCGAATGTAACCAAAGTTCGGGTTTTGAATACGTGACCTACTTCTCCAGGTTCGAGGCGGCCTCCACCCTCCGCACATGGATGGCTCTGACCTACTTTTCGGGTTGCCACAAGCGTGACCCGCTAAGCAACGCTTGCCAAGGCACATCTGCCTTCTGGCACAAATCAGGCAACTCGAGTGAGCGAGCCAGGTTCCAAAGGGAAATAAGTAGCCTGGCTCTGCTCTGGATTTAGGTTGGTTCAAGGGGCTTTCAGGCTCACACCTTCCTGGTGATATTCTTTTGGGTGTCCTTGGAGATGCCCCAACTCTCTGGGTGGCCTGACCTACTTTCCCCAGCTTGTTGCAAGGACATGCCAGGGTGCAGAGTGACACCCGCCGTTCGCCCCCACATAAATCATTTTCCCAATCTTTCCCTCGACCGTGGGATAGTTTGCAGCCCGTGAAAAAAATGTATTGGTTTATGGCTGGAAATCAGGAAATCGGGGTGTAGCATCCAGGCATGTCAAAACATACCTGCAAACTGAGGTTGAGGGTAATTACCTTTGTTTGCTTGGTTTCTTCGGTTTCCTCCAGAGGTGACTCCATTGTGGCTCTCGTGTCGGTTGAGGCTCAGTCCTTCTGCCCTGCACGTTCTCCTACGCGGCTCCTCCTTTTAAAAAAGTATTTGCATTTCCAATTTCTCCAAAAGGGTCGGAACACCCTTGCCAGTCTCTCAAAGAGTCATTTGTCCCTTTGACCAGAGAGGTCCAGAGAGAAGACAAAAAGAAAACACCCGTTAAAAGATTGGGACTCATGGGGGGAAAAAAAGCTTGAAAAACTGCCCTGCAGTGGAAAACCCTTTGGGGAGTTGGTGACGATACCAGCCCAAGCCAATAGGCCCTGTGCTGAGCCAGCCTCTGCTAGGGACATGGCAAATTATGACTTACGTCCCAGGAGAAAATTGTTCCCCCTGATGTTTTGGGGTGAAGCACTCCCCCCCATTTCATTCACCACTGTCCCATGATCACAGCTTCACCTTAATTGCAGCCAAGGCTTTGAGCATAAATGCCCCAGGCCGTCCACTCCGCTGGCCACGCTCCCACCTCCCCTGGGGTGCTCAGCACTGCCACCATGATTTCTCCAACCCCCACCCAAAGAAGTGTTTGGGTTGCACCATATCCCATCACCGTGACATTTATGCAAATCCCAGCCTCCCTCTTGATTCCCGGCACAATGACGTCTCCTGTCAATTCTTGCAGATGGTTTTTCTTCCAAGCCATTGCAACACTTAATTCTTTCCCCAAAAGAGATGTTCCCTCGGTGGCAAGACTGACAGAAAAGGGATTCTCTCGCATCTCCTTCCTGCCGCGACGGGACCCGGCAAGTGCCGACAGAGCGGGGAGGCGAGCGTGTTCTCCCACGATTGCGAATTTTGTCATTCAAGGGCCCTTGACTAGCTTTCCTGATCAGAACCACCTGGTCCTATATCAAATTTTTTTGGGGTGGGTGGGAAGGTGAGGTGCCAAGCAACATTGCCCGCTTTGTGGCTAACTTTCTATCAGCAGCCGAGAAGAAATGGATAAAGCCGGAGCACCTTCCAAGAAATCAGTACGGCTGCAAACTAAGCCCAGCGATTTGTATTTAATCTGGATCTGCCGAGCGTCGTAATCTCGGCTTCCCTTTATTTCATGCCTCCCCTTTCATTTTTTATTTTATTTTATTTTATCAAGCGGTCCTGGGAACACGGCTCTCCTTTCCTCAATATTTATCTAGGAGATTTTGAGAGAGAGAGAGAGAGAGAAAGGGACTTCCCCCCTCCCTTCACTGGGAAAAAAATTCCCACTGCCACCTTCCTCCATGCTGGTTCCGTGTTCGA